AAAACAACGACAATTTAGCTCAAATAGGTCAAAAATATTAAATGAGTTACAAGAAAAACCTGTTGGTGACATTTTTAAAATCAAATAGGCAAAAACAAATTGCATAATAATTTAAAATCAATTAAAAAAATATTTTTTAATATTTTTATTTTATATTAACAGTTTTTTTACGCATATTTGTCCCACAAATATGATTAAAAAAAAAATTAGTTTTATACACAACTATTTTTTGTGGATCATTTAACAAATATTTAATTTATTCTATTTTGAATCATATAAACATTCAGGAATTCAGATACAATAAACAATTAATAAAAAAAAAATGACAAAAATCAATAAATAAAATAATAGCTATATTATTTTATGCACGTATTCCCTTCATATATAAGTCGCAGCTGAAGCTGACTTCATAGCCAAAGCAAACAAAGGAAGACGTGTATTTATAGAGAATTCCAATTAGAATAGACAATTCACAGAGGGCGTTACATAATGAAGCAAACGTAACGGAAGGCGGCTCAGGTAAACTGGTTGTAACCTGAGCGAATTTGTATAGCAATTTAGATTTGACCTTGTGGCGTCTCCCTCTCTGTCTGTCTCTTGCTCTTTCTCTAATGGTCTCTGCTGCTCTCATCCACAGCAACTGCCATCAAATGCTATCAATGCAAGTCTCTGACGGATCCCAACTGCAGCAAAGATACACTCGATGCCAATTCGAATATACGCCAGGTGGACTGCGACAGTGTGGCCAAGCCGAATACCATGGAGCAGCTGCAGGCGGTGACCAGGTGCAACAAGGTGGTCACCAGCGGTAAGTGAAAACAAAACAAACCTGACCCATCCCCCGTCCCGCCCCTGCAGCATAATTTGCATGCACAAAGTGTAAACACCTTGAGCGCAAATAAAAAATCTAGATTTCTATTAATGATGTCATTGCGTAGACGCGTCGAGCTGAACAACTCAAACCGGGGGCCAATGCCAATTAGCATATATAAGGAATTCAAATCGCTCAAAAAACGCAAATTTTCGAGCTACAAGTTAGTTTTTGGCTGCCTACATGAAGCGAATTTAAATCATGAGACAAAAATAAAGCTTTGCGTAGGCTTAACATTTGGTAATCCAGTCGAAAATCAAATTCGAAATAAACAAAATAAATGTAAATAAAACAATTGGAAAAAAACGAGTCAAAATCTGATGATGCATTGCTATAAATAAGTCACAAAATTGAATTGAAAATAATTAAAATGTTGAAAATTTGAAGAAAAACCAAATGGAAAATGTTAAGTCTTTTGAGAATAAAACAACATTTGGAAATCTAGACTTGCTCATAAAAAATAAAAAATTTAAATAGTATGAGAAAAAACAAAAAAGAATTTGGAAGATTTCGACTTTACAGGAAAAAAATTCCACAAATTCAAAATAAACTAACACAATTGCAAATTTAAATAGTATGAGCAAACAAGAACAAGAATCTTCGGAATGATTAAGATTCAATAACCTTGAATATCTATAACAGATGCGGCATTTGTCTAGACCCATGCCAAGTTTCTTGAGAACTACAGACTAGCTTTCAAATTAACAGTCGTATTTGGCTAAATCAACTTGGTTCTTGATTCTCCAACAGAAGACAAACAAATATAAAGACAACTCGTTCATATCATTAATTACAAACAAGTACAGTAAAGTTATAAATCTACTGCCCACTACGTCTCGTTACTTTAGATACAAAACTAAGACAATTAAGTTTACTAGCTCAAGCCAGAGACAACGAGTAGCTGCACAGGTATGAGGCATAAACCTACACAAACTCGTCAAAATGCGTCTCGCTACTTTTGATAGCAGGAAGTACAAACTCTCGTTAGTTTTCCTGTGTCCGGAACGAGCACAGAATTTAATACTAATGCGACCTTGATACGACGAAACTTTACCCTATTGAGCAGAATTGTTAAGTTTTTTGTGCATACAATAAATATGTTTTAAACTTACCACAAGAAAGCAGCTTATGACAATCCAACAGCAGCTGTGAAAAGTCTACAAAATGTCAAAAACAAGCAACCAAAAGAAAAATGAAATAAAACTAATCAAATTCTTTTTTTTTTAACTTTTCGCAACAGATCGCGCCGGCGTAATTGTCTCACGCGACTGTCACTTTGAGGTAGTTGGACAGAAGGAGAACGAGTGCACCGTGACGCACAGCCGCCAGGTGGAGAGCTGTTTCACCTGCAAGGGAGATCTGTGCAACGCATCCTCCGCCGGGCGCTACATGGCGATGAGCGCGGCAGCGCTGCTTGCACTTTTCGCCGTGCAGATGGCGCTGTGAGCTGCTTCGACAAGTTCATAATAATAATAGAATTCGTGTACAAATAATGTGAAATGTTATACATATTGGTTTTTAAAGTTAATAAATTGCTAAAATTGTATTTTAAAAAAATGCCTTTGCACAAATAAAACAAGCACTAACCTCATGTAATCACGTATGCACTTTAAGTTTTGTATAATGTTGCTCCTAAAGTCCACATCCATCCAGTATTCGTCGCAGTTATCCATTTCTCTTCTTCTCTTTTATTTATTAATAACTTAAATTCGATACAAATAAGAACGAAATTTGGCAAAACAGAAAAAAAAAAAAATATAACTTTTCACGATTACACAAAATGCACGGACGCGAAAAAGATAAAAAAAAATGCAATATGGCAACACCGGCTGTTACAAATAACGGCGCTTTCGGCGCACACACAATTTGCTAACACAAATTAACTTGTTAAAATGTACGCTTACAAGATGTTCTCGACATACAAACAATGCCGAATGCACTTAACACTCGCTTACAACAATTTTGAAGCCTTTAAAGACATTTTAACCACGTTTAAACATAAATTAAAAACGAGCGACGCGCACACACACGAAGAAGACACAGAAGAGAGAGAATTGGCAACTTGCACAGGCTCCGCAAGGCTCTCGTACAATGCAGCCTTTGGCAGGCCACACACGTCACAATGTGTCGGACGACTCGGTGTGGTTATCGTTGGGCGAGTAACGAGAATCGTTTTAGTATTGAGTAAGAACGGAAAAGCAATATGAAAGGAATGAAGGCATGTAAACAATACTAATAGAATGGTGATCAATAGACTAAGCTTCAAATTGGTTTATTAATTAAGCTGGATATTGAAGATATTGAGAAAACTTAGTGCGCGGCTTTTACTCTCAGTCATACAATTGAAAGAGCACCAACGAGTAATTACTCGCCACTCGATACTTGGCATCGATATATTAGCAATAAGTGATTAACTAATTGATTCTTTTCAAGAAAGTATATTAGAAAGTCAAGATCATTTCTCTTTTTACATTATTCTAAATGAACGAGATAAAGAACTAATACTAAAAAACTAGTTCGTTCATTTAATTACTCAAGGGAACTTTCTGTTTCTATAATGTTGTTATTAAAATCATTTACTAATAGTAAATTTAATAATAGAGCATAGTAATTGATTCATTTAGTGAATACATATTGTTATTTAAATGGTTTATTCAGTTGTAAAAATGTTCTAAATTGCATTACAATAAAATTTGTAAACTTTCGTCGCTTAAACTAAACATTTGTAAAAAAACTGCATACAAAATATAAGAAAATAATCGAGATTACACTTTGATCCTAAATGGTACGGAATATGTGCGCGTGGAATAGATATGTTTAAAGGGGATTTGTATATATATTCGTGCGCAGAGGCAGGACGGAAATGCGTTCCAAGTGTTAAGTTCATTTCGGTTCGAGTTGAAGGCACATTAAAAATTACACATAGAGAGTGGTACAGTTCGCTTTGGCTATAGTGGATGCTGCTATTGCCGCAGGAAGTGCGCGACAAGGCCAACGGCAAAGGTGCCAAAGAGGACGCCGATCAAGCTGCTCCGCTGCGGGCCCGCCCCGTTGCAGCCGTCCTTGCTATTGCAGGTGCAGAACTCCATGAAGATGTTGTAGCTGCCGGTGCGCATCAGGCAGAAGCGTTCGTCCCCCTCAATGCCCGGCTCGCCCATGTAGGCGCAGCTGCGGAAGTAGCGCCACTCGCCGTGCACCTTCTGTCGGATCTTGCGGCACATGGTCGGACGCACGCCCTTCAGATGCTCCAGCTCCGGCGCCTGCTGGCAGTCCGTGATGGCCAGTGTGCTGTTGTCGAAGGGATCGCCGCACTTGGGATCGTTGTCGGAACGGCAATCCCAGCATTTGATGGCCCAAGCTGTGTGTGAGACACCACGAGACAAGATTTATGTTTGTTTGTTTGTGTTTGTGCGCGCGGCTACGCATGCGACTTACCTGTTTGCAGCAGGCAGCCCAAGACGAGGGCGGCCAGCATGCATTTATCCATTGTGTTCATGCTTAGATACGTTTTTAATTAATAACTAATTTGTAAGCAGCAAATAATTAATGAAAACAAAATGCGAACACCGCCCTAAAAAATATGATGCGCGTATCGATAGATATTTGCTTATATCGATGAGAACAGGGCTGCCACCTGGTCGAAGTTGGTATTTTTAGTGCGTCTCAAATGCTGTTGGGAGGGAGGTATAATATTTTTTAAAGCATTCAGGAAAGAAAGATAGTAAGTAGTAGGCACAGTACTGCGAGCAGGTGCGAAAATACTTATTTCAAATACTCTGCAACATAACCGTCTGCAGCAATTAGATGTGAGCGAAATTCTGTTAAATGAGGAGTTCAGTGGGTAAGCGACGGCCAGGCAGGTCAGTCTATCGCATGGCCGCCACATTCAAACTGCTGTAACTGCGCTGTTATGGCTGTTGTATTAATGTTGATTACATTAATTTCCATGTTTTTTAAGCAAACTCAAGGTAATTTAAGTTCTTTATTCAATAACCGAGCCAGCTTTTTTGAACGAGCTTATAGTTTTTTAATTTTTACCGAAACGGTTAACATTAACGCGCGCTGTTAAATAACATTACAGCGCCCTGTTAACTTATTGATGCCAAATATCATATGTTATTTTTTTCAGTTTTTAGACGGACTCGAATTTTACAAGTTGTTGCAACTTGCGGAGTTGCTTAAAAAATTTTGTTGGCTACATTCGGCTGCCGCGCGTGCTGTGTGAACGTGTGTGAATGATAGCGCTCACTGCATTATTAACCAAATATACGATCGGTATTATGAGCAATTTAAGCAATGGCAATTTGCAGCAGAATCAACAACAGCCACAACAACAGCAACAACAACAACAGCAGCAGCAACAGAACAACGTTGAAGCGGGCGCGGGTGCGGCTGCGGCGCCCCTATTGATGGAGCCTGGCGCAATGCCCGCCCCAGGCCTGGGCGTTGCGGTGGGCGTGGCGCAACGCCAGCGCCTGCTGCTGCAGCAGCAGCAACAGCAGAATCCCGCCGCCGAGGGCAGCGGCCTGGACCGCGGCAGCTGCCTGCTGCGCTACGCCAGCCAAAACAGCCTCGACGAGAGCTCCCAGAAGCACATCCAGCGGCCCAACGGCAAGGAGCGCGGCACCGTCGGCCAGTACAACAACGAGCAGCACACGGTGCGCTCCTTCGATGCGATGAACGAGATGCGCAAGTAAGCACGATCACGACTAGCAAATACCCTGTAGCTCTGCGAAAATAACTTTGTTTACCTTGTAAATTATACGCCAAAGTAAAAAATTGAGTGCTCGTTTGATAGATACCCAGTGCGTTTAGTTAAGAAGAAACTTAAGTGCTCCGACTAGCAGACACCCTGTGAACATTGAATATTTATGTTTCTATCTAATAGATACTCCTTTATAATAATGCTTCTACTTAAATAACTTTTGCAATTATTATCCAATTGAAGTGATATTTTCGAGACTAAAGTATGGCATTCATATTTGTGCTTATACCAAAAGCCCAGTTGGCCCATTTTTAAAGGGTATGAGTAATTGGAAATTATATTAATGTGGCCCAAAAACAGACAAGACTCCATCAACAGTTGCAGTTGTTGCTGTTGTCTCGCAAAAATGAACTAGCACAGTATACCCGACTAGGAAATACCCTGTGCGGTAATCTTAAATAACTACCATGTGTACAGGGTATTATAAAAACATAACATGTACAAAAAATGTACGATATGCTACCAAACTGTTAAGATATTCCGTCTAAAAAGCAAATAAAAGGTTAAGTCCGTCATTTTCCGACTGTTACATATTGTGGCACAATGTCAAAACGCCCGTCTTGCTTTTTTTTAATGGGTATTGGTCACCAAGAACCCGACCGCTCATAAGATATAATTTTTCGCCTGTTACAAATTCTACCACAACTTCAATACACCCGTCTTGCCCTGTTTTAATGGGTATTGGGCACCCAAAACCTGACATCTCATGAGATTTGTTTATTTTGGTCTTGGCAAAAATATGAAAAATATAATGGGCCAAAAAGCTGGCGAGACGCGGTCAACAGTTGTTTGTGCCGATCTCTCGGACTCACATTCTCTCGCATAATTGCGCATTACGCTTCATTTGTCGGTTTTGGCCCCCTTCAACTTTGCACAGATAATGCACATACTTTAAAACTATATATATATACATATATATATATATATACGTTTGCCTTTAAATTTTGTCGCTGTATTTGCTTTTGTCAAGAGGCCATTCGCTTTAATATTCGACTTTGCGATTTTTGCTTTGATTATGATGATGACTTTTTATTTTATTTTTTTAGCATTTTGTTTTCGCTTTAGACAAATATTTTTGCCCTTGAACTTGAAGTCGCTCAGTTTTTGTTTTTGTTTTCTTTTCTCGCAGTTTTTTCTTGTTTTTCTCTCTATGTATTCGCTTCCCACTTCCGTGTGAGGCCAGCTGATTAGATGTCATCTAAATGGAAAACTACCTTGATGGAATTTTTTTATATATTTTTTTTTTGTATGGTCTTCAAACCCGTTTCGATTTTTTGTTATTCGTTATTTTTGTAAGCCAATGCCCTAAACGAGCTCCACAAGCTACGCACTGTGGGTCCAATGGACACAAATCGTTGAGTTTTTTGTTCATTAACATTTTTAAGTGTAACGAACTTTAATTTATTGAACATTATTTGAGGTGTTTGTTAAAAAAGACAAAATAATTGACCAAAAAAAATGCTTGAAATGCGCAACATTTCGGTTTCTGGCGAAATTTCAATTTGAAACAAATTTTTTCTTCGGACAGCTATTTCTTTTATTATTATAATTATTTATTATATATATTAATTTTTATAAAAATATAACTTAATTTTTTGAATTCCTAATATTTTGTTTTAAATTTATACCAGAGCCACTTTTTACCTGCAAAACTTTTCAGTTTCTGAAAATTCTCCGTAATAGGCTAAATTAAAATTAATGCTTTCTTTTGGTAACAAAAATTCCAAACATTTTAATACAAAATAAAACAGTTTTTCAAATTTGAAAAAAAAAAATAATATAAAAAATAAATATTCATTTTAATTTTTGAGTCGATTAAGTAGAGTGCTAAGCGAAGTATAGAGATCGAACCCCGGTCAAATAATTATTCTTGTTTAAGTTGTTTACATACACATTCAAATGTACATTAACACATACATTCACCTCCACACATACACATACACATTGACATGCACTTATATAGATATCGCACCACTGTGCTTGACTTTATAGAAAGTTTATATGCTAAGCTTTTAATTGCTGACCTTACTTAATAACCACATACCATCATCCGCTCGCTCCATTCTCATTTTGTACAGACAAAAACAGCTTTGCGATGTCATTCTGGTCGCGGATGATGTGGAAATTCCAGCGCATCGCATGGTCCTGGCCTCCTGCAGCCCCTACTTCTATGCGATGTTCACCAGCTTCGAGGAGTCGCGCAAATCGCGCATCACGCTGCAAAGTGTCGATGCCCGCGCCCTGGAGCTGCTCATCGATTACGTGTACACATCGAATGTGGAGGTGAACGAGGACAATGTCCAGGTGCTGCTGACGGCGGCCAATCTCCTGCAGTTGACGGATGTGCGGGATGCCTGCTGTGATTTCCTGCAAACCCAATTGGATGCCAGCAATTGCCTGGGCATACGCGAATTTGCCGACCTGCATGGCTGCGTCGAGTTGCTCAACTATGCGGAGACTTATATTGAACAACATTTCAAGTGAGTGGACAACCGGGCAATCAATCAGTCAATCAATCAATAAATTCATCAAATTTCGATATATTCCAATTTCTTTTACATTCCCCATGCACTTTTTTAATTGTAAATTATATTACTTTTATTTGCTTTGGAAATTTGAATATATCTTCTAAAGTACCTAAATAACCTTAATTTAGGGGCTTTTTAAACGAACTATAACGCCACGAAGAGTTTTTAAATATATAAATATAACATTAAATATGTAAATATAACATAAAATACAACATTCGTCTGTCTGAACTTTAATAATATAACGAATCGAGTAGAATAGAATAGAAGAGATGATAATTTATTATATATATATATTAAAAGGTATTTAATCTTCGGAATTCGATTGTAATATATCAATTATAATGTATTATAGTTCCGAGTAGAATAGAATATAATATTAAACATATACATATATGCAAGGATATTAGTCGAAATCGGATTATAATGGAATATAATATATTATTAACCATATGTATTCAAGAGTCTTTCATCTGTTGAATCGGAATATAATATATATAATCGAATAGAATAGATCTCAATATAAACCAGAGTATTTCATTTTCATCTCTCAAGAGAATTTCATCTCTTGCATCAATATAATATAGTATTTTAAAATAGAGTCGAGTAGAATATAATATAATAGAAGAGATGAGAACATAATTTATATATATTAAAGGATTTTTCATCTTTGGATAAGATTATAATGGAATATTATATGGAACCTAAAAGAATAGATTAAGATATTAACCATATATTTGCCATGATATAATAGAATATAACATAAAATAATATAATATATATATATACATATATAGCCATATGTATGCGAGGGTATATCTTCTCTGGAATCGAGTTATAATATAATACAATAATACAATATAATAAAGTACAATATTATATAGTATAATAAAATAGAATAGAATAAAATAGAGCAGAGGAGAATATAATTTATATATATATATTGTTGGGTATTTTATCTTCGGAATCAGATTATAATATATAATAAATTATTATAAGATAGAATAGATTAGAATATTAACCATTTGTATGCAGGGTATTTAGTCTTCGAAACGCCAAAGATAACTTATTAGTTCGCATATAAACCGATTCTCTAACATTTCATTATTCATCTTTCATGAAATGTGATATACAATAATTAATTTGAATGACTGCAAAACAGACTTCGGAATAGACTAACGACTTTCGAAATGATTAATGGCACGATATAGACTTTGGCTTGATAAAATGAAAAAATAATGAACAGTTGGTTGGACTCGATTTAAAGACAGATTCTTCTCAGCTTAACTGATCGTGACTATCTATTTTTAACACTAGTCGAATCTAATTTCTCGCCCAACCTTCCACATATACATATGTACTATACTTAAGCCCATAAACTTTTCTTAACCCGTTAGTCGCTCACTTTAACCAGTTTCTTAAATATATATACTAGATCTTTAATTTGGCACATGTTATGACACATACCCTAACTTGTTTTTGTCTCTTTTCGCAGCGAGGTCATTCAGTTTGACGAGTTTCTGAATCTCACACACGAACAGGTCATCAATTTGATATCCAACGATCGCATCTCGGTGCCAAATGAGGAGCGCGTCTATGAATGCGTCATCGGCTGGCTGCGCTACGATGTGCCCATGCGGGAGCAATTCACATCGGCCCTCATGGAGCATGTGCGGCTGCCGTTCCTCTCCAAGGAGTACATAACCCAGCGCGTCGACAAGGAGATCCTGCTCGAGGGCAACATCGATTGCAAGAATCTGATTATCGAGGCGCTGACCTATCATCTGCTGCCCACGGAAACAAAGTCGGCGCGCACCAGGCCCCGCAAGCCGGTGGGCATGCCCAAGATACTGCTGGTAATTGGCGGCCAGGCGCCCAAGGCCATACGCTCCGTGGAGTGGTATGATCTGCGCGAGGAGAAATGGTATCAGGCCGCCGAGATGCCGAATCGTCGTTGCCGCAGCGGCTTGTCCGTGCTCGGCGACAAGGTTTATGCCGTGGGTGGCTTTAATGGATCGCTGCGTGTGCGCACTGTGGATGTTTATGATCCGGCTACCGATCAATGGGCCAACTGCAGCAATATGGAGGCGCGTCGCTCCACGCTGGGCGTGGCTGTGCTAAATGGCTGCATCTATGCTGTGGGCGGCTTTGATGGCACCACCGGCCTGTCCAGCGCCGAGATGTACGATCCAAAGACTGAAATATGGCGTTTTATTGCCTCCATGTCGACGCGTCGCAGCTCTGTGGGCGTGGGCGTGGTCAATGGACTGCTCTACGCTGTTGGCGGCTACGATGGCTTCTCCCGGCAATGCCTCGCCTCCGTGGAACGCTATAATCCCGATACGGACACTTGGTGTGCCGTTGCCGAAATGTGTTCACGTCGCAGCGGCGCCGGCGTCGGCGTTCTGAATAATATTCTATACGCTGTGGGCGGTCACGACGGGCCGATGGTGCGCAAATCTGTGGAGGCCTACGACCATGAGACAAACACCTGGCGTTCCGTCGCAGACATGTCCTATTGTCGTCGCAATGCGGGCGTTGTCGCGCACGATGGCCTCTTGTATGTGGTGGGCGGCGATGATGGCACCTCAAATTTGGCCTCGGTGGAGGTTTATTGCCCGGACTCGGATAGCTGGCGCATATTGCCCGCACTGATGACCATTGGACGCAGCTATGCGGGCGTCTGTATGATCGATAAGCCCTTGTGAATGGAAGAGCAGGGCGCATTGGCACGGTGAGTGTTTTTTCTCTTGCCTTACTTAATAATTAAATCTTCAAGTACGGCTTTTAATTATGCCTTAATATGTTTGCCTAATATATAACTCCACTTAACATATTTGTCATCTGTTTCTAGCCAAGCGGCCTCGCTGGCCATAGCGCTCTTGGATGATGAGAATAGCCAGGCTGAGGGCACCATGGAGGGCGCCGTCGGTGGTGCTGTTTATGGTAATATAATAGCAGCAGCAGCAGCAGCACCGCCAACGCCTGCACAGCAGCAGCAGCAGCCCGCTAATCATCCGCACTATGAAAACATTTATGCGCCAATTGGACAGCCCAACAACCAACAAGTTGTTGTGGCCAATGCCAATGCCAATGCCCCTGCAAATGTTGAGGAAGCAGCTCAACAACCACAGCAACAACAACCAGCAGCAACTGAAGCCAATGCCAGCAACAACAATCAGCCACAAGCCCAGCAAGCAGCACCCCAACAACAACAGCAACAACAACAACAAGCGCGCATGCTGCCCATGAATAATTATCGCAATGATTTATATGATCGGTCCGCATCCACAGCGGCTGCCTACGATGTGCCAAGAGCGGTGCGCTCCGGTTTGGGCTATCGTCGAAATTTTCGCATTGATATGCAAAATGGTAAGTCACCAGGTTAACAGAATGGACCCTGATAGTGAGTAGTGAGTAGTGAGAATTTCCGTAACATGCAGATGCATATATTTTTGTATAGCATCACCTTCTGAGTCCATGTGGCCACCTGTCTTTTGTATGTTCAGCACGATCTATAAGAGCTAAAGCTTAAGTGTAGACAAACAAGTATTATATTAAATTCAATATGAGTAGCTTACGATATCTACAGGGTATCCCCTACTTACTTCTATTACCAACTTAAGCTGACAATCCATTTCTGCTCCTTTACAGGCAATCGTTATGGCAGCGGCCTGCGCTGTGCTCCGCTCTATGCCAGCAATAGATCCAATTGCCAGCGACAGCGCAGCTTTGATGACACCGAATCGACAGATGGCTATAATCTGCCCTATGCCACGGCGGGCACCATGCGCTATGAGAACATCTACGAACAGATACGCGATGAGCCATTGTATCGCACCACAGGCGCTTCGGCGGCAAGTCGCGTGCCGCTCTATACGCGCCTGGATGTGCTGGGCCATGGCATTGGACGCATCGAACGGCATCTGAGCTCCTCCTGCGGCAACATAGATCATTACAATCTGGGCGGACACTATGCAGTGCTGGGACATTCGCATTTCGGCACCGTGGGTCACATACGTCTGAATGCGAATGGTGCCGCAGCAGCAGCCAGTCCCAATGCCAGCAGCTGCACGGTGCCCAACTGCCAGGGCTATGTGGCTGGCGGTGGTGTGGCTGGTGCTGCTGGTGTTGGTGGTGCAAGTGCTGCCGCTGCTGCTGCAGCCGCCGCAGCGGCGGGCATGGACTATGGCCATGTCAAGGTGCCCGTCAAGAATAGCGCCTCTTCCTTCTTCAGCTGCCTGCATGGCGAAAACTCGCAGAGCATGACGAACATATATAAAACCACAGCTGCTGCAGTTGCTGCGGCTCACCACTGTTCACCACTGACGCCCAATGTCTCCATGGAGCGTGCGGCACGCTCTGCATCCGCCGGACCCACCACAGCCGTTATAGCAGCAGCAGGTGCTGAGGAGCAGCAGCTAAGCGGCGGCGACAGCGTGTGCAGCTCGAGCACAGCAATGCGCCCCACGGGCGCCATACCCAAAATAAAAACCACCAGCAAAGCGGCCAAGGAGTCCAGCACAGCAGCCACTGCTGCCAGTTCGACTGGAGCCGAGAAGGTGGCAACTGGAGCAGCGCCCAAGATCGCTGCGATGGCCAAGAAAACAACAACGGCAACAACTGCTGCAGCGCGTTCGAACTCCTCGTCGGATGCCAGCAATGGCAACTTAAATCGCATATCCAAGTCCAGCCTGCAGTGGCTGTTGGTCAACAAGTGGCTGCCGTTGTGGATTGGCCAGGGACCCGAGTGCAAGGTGAGCCTTGATTAACATTAAATAACTGCCTTTAATTACATTTGATTTGCTTTAGCAGGTTATTGACTTCAACTTTATGTTCTCGCGTGATTGCGTCAATTGTGACACCGCGTCGGTGGCCTCCCAAATGTCCAATCCGTATGGCACGCCACGTTTGGGCCTCGGCACACTGCCGCAGGACATGATGCGCTATCAGGGCAGCACGGCCAGCATGCGACGGGATGCCAATGCAGCTGCCGCTCGACCGCTGCACAGCAATTTGAGCCGCTTGCGCTGCGGCGCCGACAAGCGTCAGAACCTGACGGCAGGCAGCAGCTGTAGCAGCAGCAGCGGCAGCTATCGCTACGAGGACCCCTCCTATGAGAATGTGCACGTGCAGTGGCAAAATGGCTTTGAGTTTGGACGCTCGCGTGAATATGATGCCAGCTATAATCAACAGCAGCGCCCGCTGCTGCAACGCGCTCGCTCCGAAAGTCCCACGTTCAGCAATCAGCAGCGACGCATGCAGCGCGCAGCGGCACAAGCACAGGCACAAAACTGCCAACAATCCGCCAAGCTTGCCGATCCTTTTAAGAACTACGAACTGAATGTGGACAACAATAGTTTTAGGCCCAAGCAGCCGGCGGCAATGGAGCTGTGCGATGAGCTGGAGGGCGCTGTCGGTGGTGCAGCTGCCGAATCGGATGCAGAGCAGACGTTGGAACCTTTAAATCCTAGTGATATCGAGACTGAAACAACGACTACAACAACAACAACAGCAGCAACAACAACAGCAGCAGCAACAACAACAAACAGCCAACAGCAAAACAATGCAAATGCCGCAACGTCTAGCAACAACAATGCAAGCACTCAAGAAGCAAACGACTAAAAAAAAATTAATTCGATATACATATAAAAACGTAGGATTAGCATACGATACATGCAGTTGCAAAATTTACGATTTTATTTTACCTGAGTTTAGATTTTGTTTAATTTTGGTTCAACATTTGTCACACTTATAATTAGATCTCACGAAAATTGCAATTGGCGACATGCATAAAAAAAACTAATAACTAACTATTAACTCAGAAAAAAACAAACAACTACTGATATTGTAGAATTTGATACATTGTGATTCGAGGCGTTTGCGTGAATCCGCCAAAGCTCGAATATATAGCCTATTTACTAGACTTTTAGATATATATATATTTATATGTATGTCACTCTCTTTTCAAATAGCTAAAGCATTTGAACGCGGCCATTTAAGAGTAGTTTCCATTACTACATCTATAAAAACAAATGCCGAGACGCAACATGCAATACAAAAGCGCCATATCATGCACATTATATATACATATACTTAGGTACATATAACATATATACATTATATAGAAATATAAGCAATACGCATTTGATATTTAATTTCGAAATGTTCCAATATAAATTGTTGTGTTATTTTTTGATGGCACGGCAAACAAGTCCACTGCCCCAATTCCCCCTCAAATATGAATTATATATGCTTACCTATCATTATTTATTAATGTATTTTTTGGATAGGGGGCGTGTCAGCTGCGCCCCCTTTGATATTGGCATTTGTTATGTGCACGCGCTTTGTTCACATTGTGTGCGTTAAGTTTTTCGGAGCTTCCCAAGCAAATACAAAATAAACAAAAAATGAAAGGAAAATGAGAGGAAAAACCATTTCATACTATCATTTAGGTCAATTAGCATAACAGGTATTATTTACATGCATACTACTTATATACATACATACTATATACATATATACAAAAAAAATATACACACAAAAAAGAAACCCATAAGAAATTCATATACAATACTCCAAATATATAGATCCTAAGCATACTTACATGTATTGCGTTTAACTAATTCATAATAAAATAGATAAAAAATAAATATATATATATATGTAAAACTTTGTATACTCAAAAATTTGGAACGATTTTGTTGTGTTTTTGTTTTGCTTTTGTGTTTTTATCGTTTTATTTTTATTTTAACAAACTATTATAAAATTGCAAGTTTTTCATTCTCATTGCTTGTTCTTGTTGTTGTTGCTCATATACACAGATACAGATATAATATAATTATTATAAACTAAAAAATACAATATCTGTCATAATATACTCATATTCAATATAGATATACATATATGTATATATATATATATATATGCCCGACTTCTTCACAACTATTGCGCTTGGCTACGACAAATTGGAATTAATTTTTTTTTATTTAGTTTTCGCTACATTTCTGATAATTTAAATTTTTAGCCGATATGTTTTCGCTATGTTCACTCTTTAAAAAAGCATTAACACCCAAAGAGAGTCTAATTGCATATATGTAGTACATATTTGAATATACGTATATATTGAATTTTGTTTTGTTTGAAAGTTAATTTTAATTTAGTTTTAAATTCCGTTTCTAAGTTTTTGTATTTTGCGTTTTTTGTTTTTGTTTAATTGCAATTTGTCGCTACGTAGATCTACAAGCTTCATTGGAATTGCTGATAAGTTCTTTAGGATTAGATTTATATTTGTTGCCATTCATTAATTCACTTCCTGTTTTTCTTTTCTTCTGTAGTATACTTCGTTTCACCGCCTCGTTGTCAATGCTAACTTAAAATGTACACACACAAAACTAAAAACTAACTAAAAAAAAATCGTTACAAAAATTAGCTCAGAACTATACAAAACGCTTTAAGCGCGTCCACACACATCATTAAAAAACCCACACATATCAAAAATGATTCCCGCACGGCTCGGCCTGACATACCCTTGCAATCAATCGATAATTCACGACTCTTGTTCATCTACTTGGGCAACTCATAGATTTGGACGGGCAACGCTTTTGGCGTTATTATCTCATCCTCAAAGTCATCATCGTCGCCATGGATGGCATAGTCGCCGCCATTGTGCTCGCTCTCGAATTCATTGGGCACAATCTCCACATCGCTGGGACGCACCGTGCTCCGTGAGCCTCCGCCAGCCTCGCCGCCATTTCGATCCGATCTCGTTTTAGTCGATTTGGTAATATGATCGCGCAGCATATGCGAATATAGTATATCGTCTATATAGTACATGGTGCCCAGATTGTAGACAAACACCTCGCTCTCCGTAATCTGTGCATTGTTCACACTCGTATAATTGCTGCCCGGATTACGTGTAATCTTCACATGACCACCGCCAATCGTTTCGAACACCTCATTATCCCGCAAATCCCGATTATAGAGTCGGCCACGCACAAAGTGATTCAGCAGCATTTTAATGCCACGCTGCGAAGCCTGCAACACGGAGTGGTTTTGATTGTTAATGATAAAGTGTAATTAGTTTGGATTAGATGGACTTGCCATAACATCGTCGGATAGTCGGTCGAAGCCCAGCTTCTCGAAGGCCTTGTCTTCGGGCACAAAGAATGTATAATTTGCGCCAGAGATGTGGGGAGCTATTTCCGCATTGTTCAGATATCTGTAAGCAGTAACGACGTTCCATTTAGATCTGTTTGTCAATTATCCTGCCTAAACTTTTGATATTATCCCTTAATAAGATCATTCGCTATGGCCGCTAGTCATTTAAATGGTATATTGCTTATAGAAGGAGGTTTTTGCAAGCCAATATTGCATATATGTGTTATCGATCGGGTTATCGAAATTAAAAGTTATCGAGATCGAGTTCAATTTTGTTTATGGTCATGAGTCTAAATATCGAAGAAAAGTCTGCAAATTTATTTAGAAAGATTTTCGAATCCACATACATCGATCAAGTTGAGCTTACACTTTTGACAACTCTCTCGACATCGGATACATCGATACAAATCGGAGACCTAGTTTTATATTAGATCCTACAGCTAAAGTAGGGTATCTTTTAGTCTCGTTATATAGACATCATATTGAAGTAAAAATAAGGATGACAGACTCATTTCGCTAAATCGATAATTATCGATAAATATTTATTTTTACAGGGTAAATAGCTCTGACTTAGAAAACACGCTCTTAACGCCGACCTCCAACCTGGGTATCTCTGAGTCGAGCATTCTCGCCCTTAGCATTTATAATTGTTTGCTTGGTTGCCCTTTGTCCCACCCCCTTTCTAATTTAATCTCAACTGATTTTAACTGTAATTGGTATACAAATTTACCTTGTAATTTGCGTGAATCTTGAATCACGCTCCAAGGCCAAAAATGAGTGCGATAGAAATTGTGCGCCGAACCACGGGAATGCCAAAAGCGGCGGTGTCTCCTTATCCTTGTGCATCTGCGGTGAGTATTAAAAGGCTTAGCTCATATATCAAAGGCATATGTGTGTGGGTGGGTGTGTATGGTTGTGTGTGTGCCTTACCTGATGCAATTTGGATACCACAGCCTCAGAGACAAATAACACCTCGGATATAATGAACACCTGATTGCCATTGGAGAGCGTAAATTCCGAAATGATGCTTACATTATTCACGGTGGGCGTGGCTGTGTTGTGTGATCAAGGTAAATCATAAATTGTTCTTCGAAAGTAATTCAATTTTAACACTTACGTTGGCCATGGAATATGACAAGCTCGCCGCCCATAGTCCGGACGCCCATTTGGTCCATGTTCTTGACATCGGACAAGCGCAGCGGACGCTGCATGGGCAGGAAGTGATTACGCAATACGCTTTCGGTAAACTCGGGCACACTGAACGGATAGAAGCCCCAGTCGATGGGATGCCAGCGCTGGAAGGCATTGTCCGATGGTATGAGCACCGTATAGGCATTATCATCCATAATGCGTGTCAGATTGGATTTGGATAGAAAGTGCTGGAACACTTTTGTGCCCGTTTTCATGTTGGCCAGAAATGACATCAATGGACTCGCCTTTGATTCCTTAATAATGGGCTCCACTTTAGCATGTGCATTCGTAATGTTTGGCTGCTCCAGCGGCTGTGGGTCATTGTAGCGGCTGCAGCGATGGCATAGAACGGGGTGGCGAAGGGTAGGTAAAGGGCATGTTAGGAAGTGTGTAGAAAAGTTGGGCCACAAAAACTTTTCGCCAGTGCCTGATAAATTTCGCATGAGTGCACTTTTTGACCGCAAACAAACCAGCATTGGGGCGTACACTTGGCAAAAAGTGTGGCAAATATGTATTGGAAATATTTGAAAATATGAAGAGCATAATAAAATATATCTATTTAAGCCGTGGCAACACTTTTTCGTTGGCTCGGTTCGTAAATCTGACTTGCTTTAAATCAGTTCTCGGTTTTCGATTTCTGTCATTAAATTTCTTTGCATTTTTAATAGACCTTTTCATTGTGTTATTTAAGCTAACTATTTCATATAAAATTGCTATTAAAGTTTTATTTTTGAAACAATAATACAATTAAACATCTCGAAGGTTTTAAAGTGTTGCAATAATATTTACATCAAAAATCTTTAGCGTCAATCAAATTTTGGAAAAATATGTTTTAGTTAAGATTGTAGTTTGACTGTTCTTCGATTCGATTTTGGCAAACATTTCTGAAAATAATACCTCTTTTACAGTTTTTATTGCAATTTATAATTTTTAAAAAATATTAAAAAATATTTTTTTTTAAATTTGCATGCTAAAATTTATTTTTAAATAATTATAAAGCTGTTTCCTTGACATTTTCAAGCTACCGTATTTTCTTTGAGTGTAGGGACATGCTGATTGCGCACTCTGCATTGCTAAGGGATCAAATGTAGGCATAAGTTGGGTCACTCACTTGTTCGTTTCCTGTATGTTACGCTTGGAGTAGGGCGATTTCCTATCGCCCAAATAACCATCAATTCCAATGGCCATCAATTGCTCATTGATACGCAGCTTGTAGAGTATTTGCTGTCCGTTGAGCAGCCAGACATTGTTGTGGGACTTTTCCAATTTACGAAAAACGACTTTATGTCCATTCCCATTACCATACGACTCCTCCTCTTCCTTGCCATTGGCGAGCGTATTGTAGCTATCAAAGATTTTACCGGGCACCAAATGCTCCAACATGAACTCCTTCAAGCGCGGCTTCTCAATGCTACGCACATCGATTTTCGGTATTATCAATGTGAAGGGTGTATCTGGAAAGCAGATTGATTGTGTCTGGTTAATTAAAAATAATAATAAAGTGAAATAATGGTGGCTTCAAACATCAAGTTGAAGACTGAGCGCAGCGACACTGAACCCATTTTCTATTCTCTTGATATATCTTTTTGCTAAACATTTTTATGTATTTTTGGCTAGAAGATGCCTACACGTGCGATTTTATAGCTATGTGTCTTGGCTACCAAATTTTACACTTATTATTATTCAATACGAGTACAACTTGAGCATAGAGAAGTTAGGTAATTGTTTGGGTATTGCATAGAGAGTTAATGAGCTTACTGTAAAACCTGGTTTATTATTGTCTGTTAATGATATTATCTAGGCAAACTGAATAAATTAAACTAGGCAGACTTCAAACAGGGAAATACTGTTATTTTATGATACCTTCTATGCAGATTTTAGCAAAATTTGTGAACTGATTTGGTTTCATTTTAAACTTTTCTTATAAAGTAAAAATATATTATTGTTATTTTATTTTGCAAAAAATACAAATGGTTTTATTAAATACAAAAAACAGTATAAAATTTTAAATATATTACATAATTAATTTGTTTATATATTTATTATTATTTATTTATAAAGCTGGGTGTCTAATTGGCAACAAAACACTCAACTATTATTTAATTGTTTAATTTTTTGTTGCTGTGAATTTTAAAGAGTTTTTTTAATTTGTATGGTAAATTTTCATTTAAATCACAATTTCAATACAAAGGTTTCAGTTGACAAAAAAATAAATGAGAAAAATTTTAAAAATTCTAGAAATTTTGTTATTTACTAAAAAAGAAATAAAAATAATTTAAAATATTTATATTTAAGCAATCTATAGGATACCATGCTCCTTATTGGCATTATGTTGGACCCAGGCATGTGGAGAGTTAACCAGAAGGCTGTTGGTGAACATGGCAAATATCCAGCTAACATACAAGCACTCCAAAATGTGACTGCGATTCAAGTTGAATATGTTTAACATGCTGCGATCCAAGGTGTAATAAGAGACCAATTTGTAATGGCAGAAGATTTGTAGCTGCAAAAGGGAATATCAACTAGCAAACCTTAGCGGATAATACATGCATTAGGCATTTTCAACCAACCTGCTTCTGTCGCCTGCCATTGTTCTGAAACCTGAGCAATTCATGCCCGAACTGTTGCTCAACCGATTTGATGAACTGGCACTGGTAAACAAAGCACAAGGGATATAGCAGAGCACCGAGAATCGTATAGAGCAGAAGGCCCAATTTATGTGTATCATACAGCAGTAGATGGAAGCTACACATGCAACTAATCAGCTCCGAAAACAAGCCAACACACACAAATGGACGCAACAGCAGCTCGAAGTGTTGCCTCAGTTGCATCAAGGACACATAGTTTTCCAATAGATCATCTGTGCGTAGTTGTTTGTATTGCAGCAGCAGCTGCTGCTCCTTCTCGTAGTATCCGTGCAGCAGCAGAAATCCCAAGTGCGCCGCAAGGGACAGAAATAATGGCTGCAGGCTAACAAAGAGCACAGCTGACCAGCTCAGAAATTTGTCCATCGGAGAGTCCTCCCCCACATAGGGTATTCGAGTGAAACCACTTGACCGGGTGACCGGCACCGCAAGAGTAAACCATTCCGTAAAATAAACGAAAAAGAGCCACCAATTGATGCGCGGTGCATGGCCAAAGCGTCTTATAAATCGCTGATATATATTCGCAAATTCATTGAGAGTCCGCTCAATGTTCTTCAGATGATACTTATAGATATATGTGATCGATATGGATGTGATTATATTCTGATATTTGAATGTCAGGGCACTTAGGTAATACACCAACGTTAGGGCCTTATCACTATCTTCCACATCCGCCGAGATGGTCAGCAGAAAACGTAAAATAAAAAATCTCGCATGCAGATAGCTGGCAATAAAAATCCACGGACGCAGCCAGAAGCTGTGCAGCAGCGTGATCAGACTTTGCAATTTCGGCCGACGTCGGAACGTGCAACTGTGCGGCATAAACCTGTAGACGTTGCAACCGACAATTGTGGTAAGCACGGCCAGCACGCGCAGTATAACCGTTAGAGAGGACATGGCGCAACTGAATCCTGTCGTGGAATTTCAGCCGGTCCACGGGCTGACACTGATAAATTGCCAACTTGCCGGAATGGTGGCTAAATGTGCAGCTCATTTGTTTAATAGCCCAAACATCGAGAAACGTGGCCAGCGAGAGTCGCAAAAAATGTATGATAAATTATAGCTAAAAACCGGAAAAAACAGGAAGGAACTCAACTGCGCGCCGAAAATTAAATATACTTCTGGAAATTATGGCTTGCGATTGAGTGAAGCTCCTAATTGCTGAGGTTGGTGAAAATATCTTAAAAAAAGGGAACTTTTCTCCATACAAAAACTCATTTACAAAACGAGGCGTCCTATGGAACTATGTGTTATAGAAGTGCGATTTAATAAGGTGTGCCTTTTATATAAGAAGCTTAGGAAAAGAAATAAATACTGGGTTTGATCAAGTTAACGCGACAAATAAACAAGTTTTTCAAACAAGAACTTAGTTTTCGACCAAACTAACTATCTATCTATTATACATATATCTAAGTATCTATCCATCTATTTATCGATCTATCTATCCATCTACATATCTGTCAACTAAACCAGATATAGTACATATAATCTACAGATAAAGTCCGATCCGAAATATGTACTGCCCGTAATATCTTCAACAACCCGGCTGTTGATACTGATCAAGTATCTATATATTTAATGTGGATGCATTGCATATATCAAGACATTGTTAATATACCTTCTATAACTTTATTCAAAAATGCAGCTCTGTGGTAATTCGAGACAGCTCAGTTTTCAATTTTTTTAGCAGATATTTGAATTACATTAGCAAAGGAACTCTTAATTTAAAAAAAATGGTTGAAGGTTCAGCTGAGAGTTTGAACCAAAGCTTTATTTGCAGGTGTATAGATATTGAAACCTATTGGTTCAATCGACTTATACCCTTTACGAAGCCTTTACTTGCTGAGAATTGCAACATGAAACTTAAAATATACAAACGTGTATAGGGCTACGCCCACAGAGGGCATGGCAGATCGGAAAACTCTATATCTTTCACAGGTTTAGAGCTGGACTGGAATAATGGGTGACAACAAGCTTCTCTAAAGATCGATGTTATATATTATATTAAAAGATTTGGAGGGACGCCTGTTTTAAGCTGTGCATGAACTGTGCACGAGTATTACGCAGTCAGTTGCAGCCGACTGCAACAATATTATTTGATATTATTATCTTCTTTAGCTCAAGTCAGGTATTTATACTTACTTAATGTGAAGGTTTATTTAATGTGACGTATGCCCGTTTGGGGTTTACTACGACGGATGTCTTATATATAACAAAGTGTAGCATGTACATGTGTATTTACTGTATACGTCACTCACCTGTCTTTGTCCTGTAGCCGTACAGCTCCAAAACTGGAAAGCCATCGTCGATAAACCGGTAAATGTGCTGCCACTTGTCATCTTCCTGATTGCGCTGCAGGCCAGCCAAATCGGGCAGCACTTTGCTCTCAATCAGCTTGGCATTCTTCAGACTGTCATCAATTTGGCGATCCAAGATGCTGCTGGCTGTTGTTTCGCTGCCAGTTGTTGTTGCAGCAGCAGCAGCAGCAGCAACAGCGGCCGTCGCAGTCGCAGTCGCAGCCAGCTGCAGCAGCAACAAAAATGTTGCTGCCGGCACTTGCAACATTTTGCTTGACATTCAAGTTTTGTGAGTTTTGGGCGAAAATTGTTTTTAATTGTTAGCACTTTTCAAGTGTTTTTCTTTTTTGCTTGTTTGGTTGCGCTTTTTTTCTGTTTTCAGTTTTGTTTTGTAGTTTGTTTGAGTTTTTCTTATGGTACCACGATTTTATTCATTTTCGCTTGCAAATTTTTGCGCAGACACTTTACATAATTGCCAAAAGCTATACAGAAATGTGTTAAGAGAGGAAAAGAGATGGAGCAATATATGGTTCTATGAGTTCATTTTTTTCTTTCTTTCTTGTACTTCAAGAAATTTTTGATTAGTTTCAAAAAGTTGTGATTGCAGGTCATTAAAATTCGAGACGTTGTGCCTGAAATTTAATGTTAGCTCTCGACTATTTTGTATGCAAATCAAATCACAATTTTATATATACGATATGCCCAGAATAGTTTGTGCTGATCACGATCGAATTTGCATCGCTTTACAGATACATATATATATGTGTGTGTATGTATATGCATAGCTGCCATACAAATGGCACAGTTACAATGCAGCTTGACCATATTTGGCTGGCAGCTGGATTACGTGTTTGCCAGGGAAAAGCCGAAAAAAAACCTGTCTTTGACACGCTTTTCGTGACAGTTTTCCGGCGACAAAGTCGTTATTTGCGCCTAAACTAACCATTTGGACGGTGCAATAGTTAAAGATAGTTTTGTATCTTTTGTTATTTGCGAAATTTAGCTAGAAAATTTGCCAAGCTGTGTTATCTCTTTTTGCGTATTCTCACATCCAATAGGATAAACAACAACAACAGCATAATATGCGACAATTTGTTTATTTGCTGACCTTTGTGCTTAAATCTGATCGCATACAAGGCTGACAGTCAGCGGTATATATACACACAGCATACAGATACACAAGTTACGGATACAGATACAGATACGGCAGCTAAATGTGAAGAAAGTAAATTAATTTCAATTGAAGTTGACAAACTAAACGACAAACTACGGCGTAAATAAATAAAACCAAACTGTGACACAAGCACTCTGGGCGGCAAATACGGCTGATCAAAATATGTAAAGTTTAGATTTAAATGAAAACTTTTGGAATTTTCCTTTTGGGCAAATTTTCACACACTAAATTAATGCATTAAATTCTTTTTCTTTTTGTCCTCGCGCTCAGATATTATTTTAATGCTTTGTATCTGTGCCACTTCACAGAATTTTCACCTTTTGGCGTCCATGTAGCGAGCCGAACCGAACCAATTCCCGTTTCGTACTGCATGTCTGGGCGCGTTAAGCGCTCAACCGGGAGCCCAAAACGGGCTTACCGAATGCCCAGTTGGAAATGGGATGACACACACAGAAAAACCTGTTCGTCTGGCAACGCCATGTTAAGCGTATTATTGCTCTGTTCATAATATTTGTGACAATTTTCGACAAAAAAATATGTACTGTATTTGGGATCCAATATTTTTGGGTAAGATTTAATTGAATTTTATTTTTTTCTAATAATTTATGAATATTTACTTTGTAAATTAATTTCTTGTTTTCATATATCATGTTCTTAAAGATTAGTAATAAATAAATGTTCGCCTCTAAGCTACTTTTCTGGAAATTATATGAGTTTATAATTATTTAAAAATATTTTCCATAGAAATATAATTATATTTATATCTTTAATTATATTTGATTTATATATATAATTTAATAATTATTTGTAACCTTTTTTTTAAAGATATTTATTAATTAATTCTCATATTCTCATATAAATTTGCATATTATTTGAAGAGCATTTTCTGGTGAAACATAAATTTCTTTTCATTTTTCTTTTCAGTGTACTTGTACATTTCCCACAGGGCACTTATCACTTATCACAAACGCTCATTATTCATGATTATGCTTTGGTTTTTATGTGCAAAATTGTGCAACTGACGTCGCGTCTCGACGTTGTCCGGCACTCGCCAGCCCTGCCACCCTCTCTATACCCTATATTATAAGTTCTGTCAGACTAACTCCTCTATCTAGCTCTTGCTCCCTCTCTCTCACTCGCTCCCTCTCCCACTCTGTCTGTCCGCAATTGCTGTGATTATTGTTGTTGCTGAACGGCAAGGGGAGCTCGGAGTCGACGCCGGCGTCCACTGGCTGCATTACAAAAGCAGAAGTACGAGAACTCGAACTCGTAGGTTTCTCGAATTAACATTTTCGGCTTCTTTACTGACTGCCGACTGCTTTATAATGAAAGTCTCGTGCAATGCTATTATTACTTATTTTTATTTTTTTCGTTTTGTTGATTATTGCTGGTTGGTCGTTTCATTTGTGGAATGGAACTAAAACTGCCGGCCCATCACTTTAATTGATATTATTGTCAGGCGGATATTTTATTTTTAGTCGTCTTTCAATAGGCAGCAGGGCCCGAACTGCATTTCATATGCATAGTGAGTGATGATATCTTGATTGAAAATGTATTGTAATATTTAATTAAAATTATTTACATATCCTATACCCGGTGTGTAATCAAAAAATTATAAAAAGAAGGGCGTATTTTACGATTGTAAATAAATTAGAGATACATCTGTAAGTATATTTATTTTTTTATCTGCAAAATGTGCCTGCTTGTTACGTCCTTATGAACTTCCCATGACAATAGAAGTTACAACTCTCTCAGAGTTAAATTTTGGTTTAAGTTGTTCCCCATAAGGGAAACAAACATAATATATAACATACAGTTTCAGTATTCTGTATGTTTTATAACTATTTGATAATAGATACAATTGCGGAGCGGTAAAAACTTTAGAATTTGATTAAATATATATTTGCAAGGGAAAGTCATACATACATATTATTAGGGTTAAGTATAATTTGAGGAGTAGTTGCTAATATACACAAATCGTATAACTTATGTCTATAATATGATATGATATAATTTGATTGAAGTGTTCATATATTTCCCTGATACAAGCAGAAGGGTACATGAGTTAAAAGAGCTAAGATCACAAACAAACAAAAATTAATATCATAAGTAATTTTAAAAAGTTAATTAAGTTATAGTATATCATAAAGGCTTTTAGCTAAATACCGGAACTGGCCGTCGGCTAAGACAAAAGTTATTTCACCTATACGATATACTGAATTTCGAACCCGGATCCTCGTTGTTAAGATGTCTAAATTACTGACATTTTTACAGAAAACTAAATCGATAAAATAATTGACATATTTAAGTCTGAGCTTTCATGCCATATATCAATAAATTAACTAATTAACTTTTACTAAATGTAGGTACACACAAATATTTAACCTTTTCGCTGAGCAAAAAGCTGAACTGAACTTTAATGAAAATATTTATGTGTGTGTATTGTAAAGCCGCAACGCAATTCTAATTGCATTTCCCAATCAAAAGGTGGACTTAAATGTTGCAGCAAATTGGAAATTGTTGTTAATTGTTTAACAACATTTTCTCGAGCATAAGCTTCGAGTATTTTTAATTACTTACGCGCGTAAAAGTTAGCGGTGTTCTCTCAACTTTTGTATAGCATGTTGTATGTGCTGCACGTATGATTAAAAAATTCTTGTGAAACAATTTTCATGGCTTTGGCGCTGCAAATGCCGGTAAATCAAGGCGAGCACGTACACACACGCATACACACAGTCACACACACACACACACACACGCGCACACACTTGTTATTAATGGCGGAAGTAGGGTTTTAGGTGGGCAGGAGATGTGAGTACAGCATTTTCCGAGCTGCAAGCTTAACGGGAACGAAAAATGCTCAACTAACAAGCCCACAGAGTAGGCATTTTGTTGTTCGAAATTGTGTATACGCAAAATGGTGAAAAACTATATACTACAACTAACTACTACTGCTATACTACTACGACTACTACTACAGCAGCTACTACGCCGCTACTACAAGCAACAAGAATAACAACAACAAGAACAACAGCAGCAGTAAAGCCGCTGCGGCTGCTGCTTCTGCTTCTGCTGCTGCTGCTGCGTTTGTGTATCCAGAGTGCAAACCAATTGAAATTAATTTGCATAATATACTATACGACAGTTAGCTGGACATCCAGCAATAGAATTATGGGTTGCTCCCGTGCACAGGGCCCAACTGCAGTTTGTATAGAGCTAATTCTGGATAATTCACAGTTTATTGCACTTGGCTTTTCCGTGCACAATTTTCTCTCGCATTCACATTTCCCTGGCAAATACACACGACACACACACAAACGTATTCCATTTGCCAATTGTGGCTAGTTAATTGGGTTTTTGTTTTTATTATTATTATTTAGCTTTTTTCTTTGCTTTCGCGGCTTTTGCACCTACGCTTAATTAGATTAATTTTGCAAGTATTTCTACTACAATTTTGTGTGTGTTCTCACTTTATTTAACTAAGCACTAGCTCGCGCGGCTACGGCAACAGAATGATTGCGTCTGTTGTGCCGGAAAATTTACGACAAATTGAGAAGCTTTTCGCGTTGCTTGCGTCGTTGCTAGACGCAGTCGTCGACGTCGGGACTCCTTCGACAGTGCCTAGGGTTGCCAGACTTTGTAGGGTTTTCCAAAGCTTAGGAATTGTGCTTGAATATATTTGAATGTTCCATAGTTTATTGGCATAAGAGCAGAAGAATGTAAGATATTTTGTTGGCTTAGTGTATTTAATTTTCATTTGTTTCTAATTATAAAGAAAGCTTAAAGTTGTTGCCACCGTTAGTCAAGACACGTTTCATGTGGTTAGCTTTCGGAACTTTAACGTTTCGGCCATTTTGTTTCTGACTGACAGTTATAAAAAGCTCGCTTAAGCTTGGACAACAACCGTTTGAGTTGCCAGCATAAAAGAAAATTAATATTCCTTATACGCCCTGTTGAATTTTAGTAAATTATAGAAGACTATTAAATGAAGCATCCAAATGGTTTAATTAAAAAGTTAATAAAAAAATATATATATATATATATAATATAAAATATAATAAAAAAAAACAAAAATTAATAAAACAAAAATAGTAACATGCATATTTGCCTAATTATAAAAACATTTAAGTACTAGAAAAATCATAATATGCATTTATTAATAAATACATTAAAAAATTATAGCATAAATAAATGAAAGTTAATATGCAAATATTTTTATTATTACAAGAGCAATTCGAAGTACTATCAAATTAAATAAATAAATTATTAGAAAATATTACAAATATATTTAAGGAAATTTTATATTTTTATATATGTAATATTTCAAGCTAGTTTAGCTCTAAAGAAAGCAAATTTATGTCCGTTTATTTAAAGCTCAAATAAAGTCAACACGTGTCAATAATACACAATTTTTCCCGCTGCTTCGAGCACCTTTACTGTGCTTACAAATAATTTTGTTCAATTGTTTGCATATGCAATTACATATTAATCAAGTATACGCAACGGTGGCAGCAACAGTATGAAATAATTAACACATTAACGGTGTGATTTATTTGTGATACTCATAAATATAATATGCTGGCAACGTCGGCAAGCGACACGTGACAATATAAAACAAGCATGCAATGTGCCAGCTCAATTTATTTGCATTTCGCAAACATTAATACAATAAATAACACAATACAAGAACAATGCAACACACACTATTTAATGTCAAATTAATTTTCATGCCATTAAATGCAGCAACAAAAAAAATAAATAAATAAAACAAAACAAAAAGAGAGCAAACACTCAACAATCGAAGAGCAGGCAATAAAATCAATGCCAAGAGGATAAATATTATACTAGCTGATGGATAAAGCAAAAGTGGAACAAGTACGGCTGGCAATCGAATATTCGAGCTAATGAATACTGAATACCCTTGCACGGTAAATGTCTTAACCAAAAAACGAAGTATTCTTATTATAAAATATATTTTTTTTTATCGCAGACTCATCTCTGGCTCCCATATCGAATTAGAACAGTCCAAGCCACGGCAGTATGCAAGTTCGATGACATCGGATGCGATCTCCGACTAACAAAGGTCGGAGATCTGATTAAATTCTTCACCCGATCGCGATCGCCTGCGTCCTGGCTGATCCAATCACAGAGAGACGCATCCAAAGGTTACACTCCTGCGACCCACCTACCAGGTAAAATAAAAATTCTCTAGAAATTGCCAAGCATCGATTTTTGAGGTCCCGATCAACCTGACCTTGTGCAAACACAGATGTCTGTCCTAATTCGCTCGATATTACGCAAGTGTATAAAGGTCATAAAATGCTTTATATATGCAAATAAATACAATATTTTTAACGAGTGGCTTTGGCAACTGAGCGACACGCAACTTGAATCTAAATAAATATAGTCCAGACTACTTCACAGTTGCCCATTGAAATGGCCGGCAATGAACAGTGTGCAGGACACCACACTTGTGCTAGCAAATTGCTACTGGAAAAAAGAGAAAAGAAAAGAGAAATAACGAAAAATAGTTAAATGACATGAAAGGCCAATGGCCAAACAAAAGTGCAACGAGGTCGGTGCACACAGCAAACTTTGCGGTTAAAACTAAAGTGGCCTGTTAGGCTTTCAGAAAAGTGTCCAAAAACTTTGGCATAGAAAGAATGCTGCTCATCTGCATTTGGCCACAGTTTTTGGTGTGCTCTCTCTCTCTCTCTTTCTATCTCTATTTTTTTTTTGGCTTTAATATTTCAACACATTTTGCACATTGCAGCTGCAGCGTAGCCTCAGGACTAGCCCCAGGACAAATGCCTCTCGCTCGAAGTGTCTCTTTTGTGGTAATTTATGCATGTTGTTTGCGTACTTTTGACTTTTTCGGCATTTACTCGTTATAAAATAAATAAAATATGTCACAAAATGCTTTGACATGCTCGTTACATTCTCCACATACATGCATAGAGCACGAGAATTTTTGCAAATTTATGTTTCTTTTTTGTTTTTAGGTGGCAAATTTTATTCCCCATTTTGGTTTTCGAATTTACATTTCATAATAACAAAATGTGCTTAAGAAAATCTGCTCGCAAAGCATATTTGCCTTCGATAACAAAGAGTTTCGAGTGCTGCATCGATATTATCGATTGGTTGAGACTTTGTCGCCTTTGGAATCTATGAAGCATCTATGCTAAGAACACTTGTCTAAATATATTTTTAATTTCAATGTATGTCAGTTGTAATCTTAGTACAAATGAGAAGGAACAAAATCTATGGCCCAGCTTTAGCAGGCAATTTGCCATCACAGCTTGCAACCGGCATCGTATCTGGCCAAATGCGAATAAAAGGCGCACACATACAGTTGTCGGCCTTGAATTGAGTTTATTTTTATTGCACACAATTCCAGATTTTTGGTTAGAGCTCAGTCAGTTGTCAGCTTTCGGGGTTGAGCAGCAGCTTATCACAGAATTGGCAGTTAGACTTAATTGAATATTCAAATGCGTTTGTGTGCAAATCTAAATGCGACTCTTCATTGGATGGCCCAAAGTGTTGTTCGACAAGACTTTCAGGCTTTTTGCATAAATTTCAAATGAAATGCTTAACATCATTTCAATTTTTTTTTTGTGTTAATTTTTAAGCATTATAAAATGCATATTCACTTGCAACTTAATGTACAACGTTTAAAAATAATTACTCTTATTAAAAATGTTGCGGTTGCTTTTTGCAATTTTTGTTTGGGTTAAAAAATTATTATAAAAAAATGCTACATTTTGTATGAGCATAATTTACATATCATAATCAATCAATATTTGCAGTTCTTTTTAAAGAGAATATATGAATTATTAATCTATGATCTGTCTTTAAGGGCTTTCATCTTAAATGTCAGCTAAATTGAACTCTAGTTTCAATTTAAGAATCATTTTTAAATTAAAATAGTAATACATATAATAAACTGTTTTGTTTTTACAAAACCAACACATGTTGGTTCATAGCTTTGTCTTATTTATTTATAAATTTCAACTTATCCTTGCCAAGCAGCAGTCTCCAAGGACTCTTCAGACACTGTCCGCACGTCTTGCATTCAAATTTTTCATTTACCCAGTTAGTCCTTCGTTTCTTAGTTTGGCAACGCCTGAAAGGCTAAATGAAAAGTGTTCAACTGAGATTTACTTAAGAAATTTCTAAGACACATTTCCCTAGACATGCCAGAAGGAGGCAAAAATCAGCGACAGCTTCGTTTTGGCTCTTGAGTCCTTGCAAAATGTGCAATCCTTGTCTATTTACGTATTTGGCCTGTAACCTTTTGTTGTGCAATTGACTATGTCCATAACAATTGTGTTTTATTTGCAAAAACAGAATAACTTAAAATGTTTCGCTTATGCATAATTCAGGCCCTTAAATAGTTTAAAATCAAATAAATAAATAAATATGAACAGAGCACAAACAATGACTGCAGGCAGCTTTTGTTTAAATAAAGCATTTATTGACAATATTGGCCAATCGAGCAATAAATCAAAACATGCCTATGGCAATACTATAAAAAGGCTCGACTATCAGATACTATGCAAACTTGGCAAGAATATCAATTTTGTTCTCAGTCTTATCACGGTTGCAGTTGATTTTATGTTTAAATTTTTTTACAGGGTATCTTATGCTTAATGATTGCATTTAATTGTTATCTGGGCATTAAATCAGAAAGCGCAATCCAGAACTTCAAACGTAATCTTCTTGCAGCCAAAGAAAAATTATATTTAAAGGACATGCCCGGCTTCTAATTAAAACGCCACACCGACCGACCAGGCTAGCCAAAAAAAAGGCTACGCCTTTAGCTTGCTATACATATATATATCCTTCGTCCTTGCCATCGTCATCGCAATCGCCATCGCCGTCAACAAACGGAAACGACATTAATGCTTAAGCTAAGCGCATTCGCCATTATAATTAAATACGCCGGCGTCGACGCCATCGTAGTCTTGGCCACGAGCCACACTAAGCGTACACAGACACACTGACACAAACACACACACACAAACACACACACACACACACACACACACACACACACATACATAACATATATATATATATATGTATTTTGCTTAGTGCACTGTGCAAATAATTAGCATGGCTCGAAATACTGTGAGTAATTAAGGTAAGTCAGCTGTTGCCCTTTGCCCTCGCCCAGTCACCTTTTGCTAGCGGAAATTAAAGTTGTAGTTTTTTTTTCAACAAGATGAGATTGCTTTGTTGTGCTTTGCTTGGCAGAATTTAAAAAAAGCAGAAAGTACTGATATCTTCGGCACGCCGAAGAGTAAATACCCTTGAAGATATTTGCGGTTTTGCGGATATGTGAGAATAGTGAAGGTCGCAAATGCTGAGTTTGAGGAAAATATCTTGGAAAACAGAGTATTTTGCCATAAAAGAACCAACTATTCGACCCATCGATTATACGTCAGCTATATTATATAGTGGTCTGATCCGCCCGGCCCCGACATATATACTGCCTGAACAAAAAGACGGATCTATGCAAAGCGTAGACGATAGCTTTAAGACGAACAAATGGACATGGCTACATCAATTCGGTTGTTGATGCTGAACCAGAATATTTATACTTTATGGGCTCGGAGATATCTCCTTCTATGCGTTACACATTTTATGACAAAGTTATAATACCCTCAACAAGGGAAGAAAAAGGTTAAGAAGCTGATTTGAAGCTTAGTGTTAAAAATTGTTCACGTAACGTTAAAACTTTTAAGTTCTTAAGTTATACAAAGTTCATGATATGTCTATGATAAACTTTCATAAGTTTGTCAAATATATACCGAATGCTTGTATTTTACTCCACGAAGATTTATTTTGCATTTTTAATATACAATTTTTAATTAATATTTAATACAATTTTTGCGAATTTTGAAAAATTGTTTTTCGATTGCGGGTATCACAAAATAAGTGTGGAACGAAGCCTGAAGTTTAGGGCTTATAAACTTTTCTGTCAAAAATCATGTTGACAATCACGACAATTTGAACACTCCACTTTAACTCATTTTTTTAAATTTTCGCTAAATACATATATATTTTCGATCTATATATATTTCCGCTCTATATAAATTGACCTTATACATGTTTTTTATTTCTCGCGCTAATCCCGATGAAATGTGCTGCATTCATTAGGCAATTGTAGTTCGACTTGATTGTCAACAGTTTTGTTCTTTAGTTATCATAGACAGTTGCTAAGTTATCTCGAAATTGAGTCCAAAATGCATTTGGTGTAGAAAACACTATTTATGGATTCGATGGTTCATTTATTGATCGTAAAAAACGTTTCGATTACACTTAGCAGGTTTGTTTATAGCAATAATATATATATATATTTTTTTTGGTTGAGAAAAGCGCCGCCACGAAATCCAAATATTTTTGTTACGGTTTTTTTTTTTTTGATAATTTATTGGAATTTTACCTAGAAGCTAGTTGGTATCAGTATTAACTATATAATGCCTTAATCAGCAAAAGTCGTTTCATATTTAATATGATAATTTTAAATATGTTTGCATAACACTTAAGACCCGAGATATTTGCCACCAGAATGTCGTCAGATTTATTATCGTTGGATGGAACACGGATGGAACTGGTTACGTGGCTCAATTCATCAGCGCACCTTGACGGTTTGCACCTCCAGCCAGATCATAAACGCTGCGATGACCACATAGGCGGCCATAATGAGTAACACCTGCAGTGGACTGGCGGTAAAGACCATTACCACCAGCAGCACGGAGCCCAATAGAAATACGCTGGCCAAAAATATGATCATTATGATGGTGGATACGCTCCGGTACCAGGCGTTTCGCTTGTCTGGCGGCGGTACATATTTTGGCCTCAATGGACTGTACTCCTTGCGATATTGTGTCTCAAAGCCGCTGGTGAAATCGATCTCATCGTTGCCGCCGCCGAGCGGCGCCGTCGCCACCTTCTTCTCGTCCGTGTCCATGCCGCAACGCGTTCGTCTCTTAACTAAATGAGAGAGAGACGCGAGCCCGCGACGCGTTTACCGACGGGCGTCAGTATTGAGCAGTCGCAGTTGTTGTCGGCCTTATTATCACAGCGCAAAGGTGTTAATTGAGGCAGCAACAAAGGCTACCACAGCTACAACAACAGCTCTGACAAATGTGTTCAGTGTGTATATATATTTTTTGTTTTTTGTGACTCAGATAAGATAAGACGCTATTACGATTCTTCGTTCGACTCTTTGAAAACTGCAACCTTATCAATTATGACTTCAATATATATATGTTTTTTTCTGACGCTTCAGCAGCCCAGCAATACAACAAATGTGTGTATGTACTAATTACGGTCTTTTTCTTTTTTATTTGTAAGCAAAATTGTGGCGTTTGTTACCCATTTTGTTGATTTTCTCACATATCTGTGTTTGCTTTCATCATGAATGAAATGCGTTTCGTTTTACTTTTTTGTTTTTTTTTTTTTTGGAAGTTTGTCATATACACAAAACCAGATCTATGTGACATCTCTTATTCCAACCCATGCAATGTTGACATTTTTTTAGTTCTAAATCAACAAAAGCACTTTGAGCTACATTATCAATATTTTCAAAGGCCGAAGAACTTAAATATAAGGCAAGTTTTTTATGTACCTGTGGTCATAATATAATTTATATATAATGTGGTCACAATAGAGCTTCTAAATTACGTGGTTTCTCACACCAACTCGAACTTAAAAGAAATCCATGTATGATACTAACAAAAATTCTGGATCATGTCCCAAATTTGTATATAGGTATATTAAATATACTTTGTACATCGTATAGTAGTAAGAGTTGGAGTAATATTTCTATCTTGAGTAATACAAACTGATGATAAGAATTGAAGGTACTTCAGATTATTATTGATATACTCAATACCTACCTCGCACTGTACATACATTAATACATTAAATAAAGGCATATTACATTATTAAATTAATATTCTACATCATTTTTTTAGAGATAATATAAATTATATTTTTTTATATACATATAAACAAATATTTATTTTTAGTCATGGACAAGTGTATAATGAAGTTACCGAATCGAATCGCTGATTAAAAAATATGAATATATTTTATTTATTTCTAGCTTGTAACTGTAAAGTACTTCAGATTACAATTTTAAAGTGCTCATTTTCAAATGGTTTTTGCTAACAACATGCTTAATATGTGATATTATGTAGCTGCTTTTAAATTCAATTTATGGCTTGGCTTAAGTCAAGCAGTTCAAATTGTAAACTACATTCAATACGTAATTTGAAACTTTTTATGTATTTATATTATTATGTTTTTTATGCTGTGCATACCTACACCCTGCAAAAGGGGTATTATGGGCTAAAATAAATTTAGCACGGATTAGTATTTATTGCCGAATTGATTTATCGCACCTCTCTGCTTAGGCTGCACAAGGACCTTAGCTAAGGTAGGCTTTACTAAGGATAGGTTAAGAACAAAGCGTTGGTATATGAGCTAAATCTATTCAAGTTTTACAAACATCTTTTTAACCCTACAGGGTATCTTTTAGTTAAAAATAGTGGGTCATGTTTAGGTTGCCCACATAAACCGATCATAATATCAATTTTCATTGCCCTCTACACACGCATACATACACAAAACACACATACACATACACAAACACAGCAACAACAACTTAATTTTACACATGCAGTAAATTTCTGTTTGCGCTGAAAATATATTTGTTGTTGATATTTACCATCGGCTTTTTTATTGCCTATTGAAATACAACAATGTAAATATGTAAAATATTTAAACCACTGATTAAATATGTCGTTTGCTGTTTAAAATGCAATAAAATACTGTTAGAAGATAAATAAACTAATTTAGTGCCATGCAAACAGGTGTGTGGGTGATAACAAATGTATTTTGCATTATATTCATTTCAATTATGTATGCAAATAAATTGAAATTGTACATTATATATTATTTGCTATAATATAATAATTTTTGTATATTTTATACTTGTATCTGAATGCATAAATGGCAAACTTGCAGTCATTGTCATTGATAGGCCACAAAATTCCAATTCAAGATAGCTGAATCACAGCTTATAAATAGACATAGATACGTCATGTTATTTTGTTGTAATCTGTGACAATAATACAAAGTAAAATATAAACTACATATAAAAATACACACTCATAGCATTAGATTTAAATATAGGTTTCGCTATAGTATTATTAATTAAATTAAAATGATTTCATTAGGCATTTGCTTAGGCTACAATTTAAAAGATAACAAAAGAATTATCTAATATCACAAAACATTTACATTTTACATTTAGTTTAATTATATTGGATGCTCCAAATGGTTATAGACCAGCATGGTCCATTATAATTGTAATAATCGAACAAAAGTGCATTGTAAGCATATCCATTCACACAACTACTTTTACACCATTCCTTTAATAAAACTCTTCAAAAAAATTGAGCGTACTCTAGTCGATAGTGACCGACTAGGGGATACCCTGAACCTTTTTCTACCAACACCAACTGCGACACTCGCTCGTTTGCTTTAACACTAATTAAATTAAATTGTACAAAAAATTGTAATAGATTTAAAATGAAAGATACTTGCTCTGTATTCACTATTCTAGAAGCTACATATCAAGTTTGGTGATTTGCTTAAAAAACAGAAATTCGTTATGGATTCTTATCGATTGCTTGGAAACAGAGCAAGCTATCGATTATCGGAAACAAACTCATACTGGACGGGCCGTTGTAAATTCGCTTCAAGTCTCCAGCTCTTATAGGTTCGGAGACCGAGGCGTTCATATAGTACATACGGACTGACTGACTATAAGTGGTCGAATTATGATTTAGTTTTATGCTTGCTTACTATGTGCAATTTATTTATATTTTATTTAAAATTCAGAAGAGACAACATAAGTTTGGCATCGAATATCCATACTGATTTCCAAACAGGGTACAAACAAATGCAGCTTGCAATTATCAGATAATTGGCCTAGCTAAATAAAGGCTGTAACTAAAGGCTTCAGTCCTATCTTACAAGATGTATGTATAGTAAATCCACCAAGTAGTCAACTTTTCAGCTAGAAGGGTATTCAAACCGGGTATAAAACCGTTGTCCCAATCGGCAACTTTTTCGACTTTGAGCACGTTTGTAAATATTATTGATGTGAGAAAGATTTCAAGTAATCATATATGCAGCAGCCAGAGGCAACAACAATATAACTACTTTGTGTACATATTTTGCTTATGTACAGGCCGTTGATGGCGATAAAGCGCGGAGGAGCAAAAGATTTCTTGGAATGCATTTTGCTGACTTTTGCATTTAATGTTGCGACTTGGAATTGAAACTGAAATTCAGCGCATAAAAACAAATAATAATTGTGGTTGCCGCCGATGGATCAGTTCGCCAATTGCCCTGAAGCTGATAACAACGCGCCGAGATTTTCATTTTTTTTTACATCTATTGTATTTTGTTTTCCCTGTGCTGCAAAATGTGGTAAATAATAATTGCAAATAATTGTAAAGAACTGTCCAGTATTTGTGTAATTTTTCAAGTGAAAGCCGTGAAAAGCTGTTGGATGCCGGCGATGAGCGTGAGAAAAATCATGAAGTGATCATTGATGCGGCCCAACTGGAGGCTCAGCAGCAGATTACAGAGCCGCCGGAGGCGCCACATGTCGGTCGATTCGATTCGTTCAAGCCGCATGTACTTTTCAGATCACAAAGTTGGTCTACTTTGGGCATTATTTTTTGTGTTTTTTACAATTGTTTTATTCTTGTAATATTATTACTATCATTTATACACTCCAAGTTGGTACATTAAATCATTATGAAAATATGTTTACGTTTTGTTATTTGTGAAAAATGAACAGAACTGCAACCAGAAGTTTAAGTAGGCAACTTAATTGGCTAAAATGTCGGTCATCGCTTATGCAGCATTAGAGCAGCACGCATTTCAACTTTGTCCTCTTTAGGAGTATATATATCCAATGCTGCCAAACAATTTAAGTTGTTACCAAAGTCATCAACATTCTAGCTGCGGCTACCACTCGGCAAAAACTTGCCCTTGTTGCAGTTTCTTCTTGCTTTTTTGTATACCCTGTAAACACCCAATGGGCTTAACGGGTATTATGTTTGTATGTAAATGTATTACTTATCCAATATAATTATTAACGATCAATATTTGAAATAATGCATATTAAACAAATTATTGTATATATTACGACTTTTTAAGATTAATTAGATAAGTTAGTAAGACAGGAATTCATATCGTAAACTTTATTCTATAGGGTATCTTCTCGTTGTTCACTCCCTTCCAATGCATTCTTGTCTGTTTTTTTTAAGCTCTTTTCTCAAGTGACAAACTTTTTGTAGCTACTGCGCATTTGCATAATACAGAAAGAAGCTCGAGAGACATAAGGCATACTGCAAAGTCAAGATACGGCCAGATCAAAGTACGAGTAGCTGCTTTTTGAAGCTGCTTAGCAATTAGAGAAATCTGGAGCATTTGCTGACATCCAATTCAATTCGTTGCCGGCGGCTGCTGCTGTCGGTTGGGGTCAAAAAATATAATATGACCGCAGGCGCTGGGCGTGCTGCGCCACGCCTGTGGTCTATGAATTATGAGAGCCGCCAGAGCGGCCTTGCCAGGAACTCGACCAGGATGCTCGCGGCTGCAACTCAGCCGTATTTCATGGCGGCTGTCATGGTGGCTGCGCGCTGCTACTCCGGCCACAATTCACCGAGCACTTTGGTGGCGCGGCCAACTTTTGGCGGGGCCAAAAGTTTTCGGCGGCTCGCACTTTTCAATTGTTTTAGGCCGCCTTTATCTAGGTATAAATTTGTTTAGCCGACTTTCGGCTTAAGGCGCGCCAAAACATTAATCTTTAAGCCTGCAATTTTTATGGCCACATTTTGTGCACCTTGCTCATTATTCAAATCTAAGACCGTGCTTAAAGTGAAAGCGTAGCAAAAATATATATGTATAACTAAACTGAAAAATCAAAATTCATGAGGCACTGTGCGAGAATTATAGCGACTTTCTTGACGGTTTTAAGGAGTCCGTCGTCCGTCGTCCGCCGGCCCCCCTTCTCATCCAAATGCTACTGGGCAGAATGCGTTTGTTGTTGCAAACTTTTTCCATCAAAAGTTTCGGTTTTCGATACGCTCGCTGCTGGCAGCAGACTCTCTGCTGCGGCAACGGCGGCTGCTTTCCTGCCAAGTGCCACTTCCGCTTTGCGTCAGCGCACACGGCTGTGGCGCACAAAAGTGTGACTGAAGTGGCTTACACTGCACCACCCGCCTCCCAGCAGCCTCTGGGCCCACCCTCGCCAGCCGCTGACTCGCCGGCAACAACATCGTAACGCACAGGTGTTAATTAACTGTAGTCCCAGCAATCTGCAGCGCGGGGCCAAGCACTAAATTTTAAATTGCAATCCGGGCCAAATTAATGAGACTTGCATTTGTACGCATCATGTTTTGGCCAAAAGCCGTGCGCAGGGATTATTTTTTATATTCGCATTTCTTTGTGATTTTTTTTGCGAGCTGCCACAAACTCAAAGTTGAGCCAAACTTTTTCGCGCACAACTTGAAGGTGTGAAGAGAGGCGCCTCCTGGTTTCAGTAGCTATGCAGATACTTTATCCACGTTATTATCGGGGCTTATGAGGTGTGGCCAGCGGAAACTGTTGGTACAAGCCTGTCCAAATATTCATAAAAAACGCTTTGCCAAAAGAGCTATCTTAAGGTCATCTGTGCTCTAAGGGAGGCAGCAGCTGGGCATAGGCCAGCAGAAAAAAATATAACGACCTTTGGGCCAGGATCAATTAAGAGCTCATGTCTAGCTTTTAAATGCAAAATAAACTGACCTGACCACGATCTGTTTTATTAGCTTAACAGAATAACACAATTTTTATGAATAATATTTTTGCTCTTTGTTTATGATTAAAAGGTCAAATCACAAAGCAGCAGCAATTTTTTATACTTAACTTTTTGATATTTTATAATAACAAAAAATCAAAAAGCACGCCAGCTCAAGATAAAAGTGCTGCAAAATTCACTGCTTATTAATTTTTACTTCGATCAACTTATCTATGAAATTCCTTGGAATTTTTTTTTATAAATACCTTTTCCTGCCTGCAGCAAATATATTTGAAAATAAGTAGCCTTGAATTGTCTGTGGGTAGGTAAAAATTTAAAATATTTATATTTAAATGCCAAACTCCAACCACATGCAATTAATTATGTAATGTTAATTAAAATAATGCTAAGATGTGTATGGAAAAAAGAAAGTTATTTATGACCCAAGGATTTGTAACTGCATTCTAAAATTAATTGAAA